TATTTGAAGGGGTCGATAAACAAAGAAATTATTGAAAGGTTCGACTGTCCAAAAATTTTACAGGGGTCGATAAAAACTGAGAAACTCTTATGGAGTCTGCTGTCAAAATGTTTGAAGAAGTCGATAAAAATTGAGAAATGCTTGAACGTGTCGAGTGTCAAAAACTTTGAAGATATTGATAAAAAACTGATAAATTCTTGAATTGGTTGACTGTCAGAATGATTTGAATTGAGTAGATAGAAAATTGAGAAATTTTTAAAGGGATAGACTGTGAAAAGGCTGGAAAGCGGGAATAAAAACCTGAAAAATTATTCAAGAGATCGACCGTCAAAAACGTTTGCTATTTATGAATATATTGAAGCTCGCATCTGAAAATACAGAATAAATTAAGGTTTTGCAGTTTTGTTTGCAGAACAAATGAAAGGCAGCTCAATATTTCAGAATTTTTTTTAAATTTTATAAAAAAGTACATATATCGGTATAATTTGGTTTTGATTTATTTAGCTATGCACAGATATTTTATGTCTGTTATGTACTGATATTTTACACCGCATTTTGCATTCATAATACAATCAACTAATATAATTTTTGAAAGAAAGACATAAATGTGATTTCATCGGTATGTAAATCTTACAATTTAAGTAACCATTAAATTTTCACCATAGAATATTTCACTTCTATTATACCATTACGTCAATACTCATATCAGTCTGCAATTTATGGAAATTAATTGTATAAAATAAAAATACTACTAAGCTCAAATACCATTTGGAGCGTCCTTACTTTTTTTATGTATTTTTTATTTCAAATCGTGAACTTCTTATTTTTAAATTCCAATTAGTTTTCAGAGTTAAGTTAAAGAGAAATAAAAATTAATAAATGTAGAAAAATCCCAAAATCACTTAGCATATTTTTAAAATGGAAAATCGATTATACATATTTTTGAGAAATCGAACCCACTTCATAACAGTTTCACGTTCTTATATCAATCCCTTAATCCTCTTTTGGGTTAGTCTTCCGAACGATGTCGAGGCTGAAATATTTGCAATTCAAATAATTTTCAAAAGAATCTTCATTTCCTGGATAGGACTTAATCTGTTAAGAACTATGCTACTAAGTACGCTTGATATTCAAAATTTATCTTCCCTTAGTAGATCTTTAAATTATATCTCAAGAAGAATAGCAATGCTATCAATGAAGAAATATACAGGTATTTCTATTTAGCAGAATTCCGAGGAGTTTGAGTATTGAACAACTACTTAAAGCTCACTTTTTGCCCCTATCACTTTCGTGTTCGAATCCATTTTTTAAATGTTGCCACCAAATGTTATCTTCATGTATTATTCAAAAAAGAATTAAATAGTAAAGAATCAGCATATGTGTATGTTTCTAATACGGGGGGGGGGAATTAGAGCAACAGAAATACCAGCCACCGAGTTTTTAATACATGTAGTCCTCCACGCTAGCATGGGGAATTTGAAACTTGAATTTTGAATTTCAAATTTATTTTAGATTTATTCACATATTTAGTACAAATTTAACGAATTTTTATTTAAAAAGGCCTAACGATTTGAAAGTGAGAAGTGCCAACATTGTTAGAAATGAAACATTTTTATCTCTAGCGCCGGAGACTATTGCTATTCTGAAAAATCTAAGATATCTCATTTTAATCCACAAATTCGGCTATTTGAAAGAAATGCGTTGAGAAATGTGCTACAGAGAAATCCATCCAAAATCCATGCAGCTACATTGCAAAGAAGCTAGTTCCTTACGATAACTTGGATTTGAATAATTTTCCACTTAGATTAACTGGGATTAGAATAACTGCGATTTGAATTTCCACTCTGGCGGATCTGGTTTTGGAAATGACGTGGACTCTGCTTTTGTGGTACAAAACAAGACTACAGACAGACAGACAATACAGACAAGGTTTTTTAAGACATATGATTAAATAATATACGTGATAATTTGTTAGTAGGATGAGAGAACAGTCTAAATGAGACACCAATAATTTTTAGTCCCGGTTGAGAAGGTGATGGCATTACAATGCATGACTACACAGCTGCAATCAGATGTAGCCTGTGCGACGATTAAACACATTCATTTCTGAACAAAAAACAATGCTTTAGAAGCACATTCTGTAGAAATCACTCAGTACAATGGATGCAACCTGCAAGCCCTAATTCTATATACATTGATCCCGTTTTAAACAGTAGAAGATACAGCTCAGCGAAGAAACATGCATTACTCAGGCAGGAGCAAGCATAGAAAGAGACTGCGCATAAAGCAGCTGGAGTATTTATAGGCTTGACTTCCTTGTTTCACTTTCAAATGATAACTGAATAGAAGCTTTCGCATTGAAAATTACCACTGTTGAAATAAGGTCTCAAATGGTGCGGTATACATTCTTTGAAAGGGTTGTATATGAATTTAAATAAGAAATTAAAAGGACTATTCCCAATTAAATTAGTTGTAAGCAGTTTTCTATCATATTTGATATTACATAATTTTTTTATCAGATTGAGTTAATTAAGGTTTACAAGTGCCTCAAAATTTTGTATATTCACTGTTAGTCTTTGTTCTCTATAGGCACTCGTAATGAAGAATTCATTCGACCACATGATATTTCCATTTTATGGGAAAGCTATAGAAGCATGATATTTCCATTTTATGGGAAAGCTTCTGGTTGTCTTTGGATATGGTACAGCTGGCAGGCAACCTGAAGCAGGTTGCATCAGGTGATGAGGATTCCTATGTCCAGGGAAATTTTAAAAAAATATATATTCGAATTATTAAGAAATATCTGTTTAACGAATGGAAAAGTCATTAAGAAAATGCAGAGAAGCGTATTTATTTGATAAAATATTGTATTATTTTCAGAAAAATTCATACGTTTTGACTAGTCATGGGTGCTTCTCAGATTATCTTCCCCGACTTAAATTCAGACCTCTAATGAATGAAACATTATAAAGTTATCGCTGACTCCTGACACTTCGTGGGGATCTCTCCAATAACTAAATTAATTAGGGATAAATACATTCAGAGAATGTTTTCTATAGATTAGAAAAGGTTCCAACTATTTTGTAGAGATCTAATGCTATTTATAAATAATAATCATGACCTAATAACTATTAATATATAGGGAATATGTTTTTTTGTCTTATTTTATGTTTTTTTCCTCTGTTTTGGAGAGTGGGTCTTTAAGATGGTCTTTTCCTCTGTTTTAGTAAGGCTTTACTGCTAACTTCGCTCTCTTGGTGAGCTGGACCACTTTTCTGTGAATGAATGAATAAATGTTTGCATAAATTACTCTTTTTTTCTGCAGCTTTCTAAGTACATTCTCAGTGAATGAATTTTTGAGAATTTCTTAGTTACCATAAAAGGCAACCATAACTTTGTACCATTCCAAAAATTGTTTGCTAGAAGGCAAGGTTTAGGAATAAAAATACTAAGCTAGATAATTATTTTATACCATGGTATAAAATTAGACCAACGTTTCTCAATTTATGGTCCTCGAAGCCTGTCATTATGGTGATCTCCCTAGATTTCCAAAAAGATAAAAAAATGAGATTCAAACTAATTCGGCTTACCACATTATAGTTGAAAATCTCAGAAACTGGAAATTACACATGGCAATCGTCTATCACCTTTTCCACATAAGACTGGCATTTTATGAAATTTATTACCGGCTGTCCTATCTACGGTCTTCCCATTCTCCTCTCAGCTACAAAGGTTATATTAGGTTAGGTCAAGTTATTTGAAAATGGCAAAGCACACGAGAGCTATCTGCCAAGAGAAGGTATGCCTTCGTAAAAGACTTTTTAAAGGAAACTAGCTCGTGTTCGGGTTACACATGGATATGGTTGATTTTTGGATCTCATTGCCAGTGTAATTGAAATATATTGACTTATGTAAAGGTGCTTTAAAAATTAAAATTCAACTTTTTCTACGGTAACTAAGAAACATTTTTCTTCACATAACCGAATAAAAACAAAATACCGAAATAATTTTTTTCTTCATATTAATACCAAATTCATGAAAAGATTACGTAAGATACCATATAGTGAAAGATAATATCTTATATTTAACTGATGAAACTTCGTCATACTTGAATGAATACTTGGTATGTTACGGAAAAAAGTGACTAAAAAAAAAAAAAAAAAAAAAAAAAAAAAAAAAAAAAAAAAAGGAAACTAAAAAAACGCTGATGATCTTTCTTTATCCATTGAGTAACGGCTGGCGCATGCCCAGTAGATGCAGTGAACCCATCGAATAGAATCAGCTGCTTCTTCCGTCTTTTATTTTGGACCGTATGAGGGAATTTTCTCGATCACATTTGTTTAACTCGCTCATTCGTATGCGTTTGTCCAGAGACGAGGTGTTTACTCACGAAAACTATCGTGTCGTCTGCGCTCGAATTCTGGAAAGGAAACCGTATTCGGAAAAGCATTAACTTCTTTTCTGAAAAGGGCGGGAAAAAAGATCAATAATCAGTTCTCAACGTCTTTCTTCAGAGAAATTTTTAAGTTGAACGGTCTTAGTTTTCCTTCTATTTGATGTATGTAAATATGCACTCTTTTAAAAATTACAGTAGAACTTTAATTACCGGCGTTTAGCTATCCGGAACTCCAATTCCAATTTTAATGTAGTAAAACTAAAAGTAGCATTATATGTTTCGATTTAGAGATTCTATTTAAATAAAAACTAATTTAATCAAACAGGCTGAATGTTTTTCCTTATAAAAAAATTTTGAGCTTATAACAAAATTTCTCGTAACAAAATTCTGAGCTTATTCACTTCCTTAACATCTTTTTCATAGACTTTAAAATATTTAACATAATATAGTACATTTCCCCACCACCACCACCACAGAGCTTTAATATACATCTATTTTTAAATTTATACTATTATAATTTATACTATAAATATATTTATATAAATTTATACTATATTTATATTATACTTATTTATACTATTTTTAAATTTATACTATACTATACCCGCCTTCTTAGCGTGCCGTCATGGTGTAGTGGTCTGCACGCTTGGCGCGTATTCCAGAGGTCCGCGGTTCGATTCCCGGTGAAGGCGTTGCTTATTTTTCATCTTTCCTGCTTCCAAAAATACCTAATGTTTCTACAATACAAATAAAAATATTTTGTTAAAAAAATTCTGAAAGTGTTCAGATTTTAACGGTCCATATGGGCTCTTTTAATATACAACATATTTCTATAAAAATATTGAATATTCTAAATTAGATATATCATGAATTAAACGGATTCTTATTTAAATCAATCCGATTAAAAAGTTAAAAAAATAATAATATTCTTTAGAACTTCATCTATTCATTTTAAATAGCTTAGTTTGTTAATCAGTAACACAGAGATTTAACTGAAAAATAAATATCTTATGTTTTGCCGAGTGCCAAGACTGGAATCAAAGTGAAACAACGCATAAATAGTGGAAGGAGAAAAAAAGAGTTGGCCAGCAAATATAAAAGAAGACAATATATTTATATTTTAAGAACTTAGATAAACATAAATTACATATTCATTGTTACATTTCAGTTGAAAGTGGAATAGGTTATGTGTTAAGAGAAAAAAGTAATTTAATTGCTTAATTTTGCTCAATTGAGTATTATTTTTTTAAGATACAATTTTGTTTTCGAATACCCAGATTTTGTTGAAATAAAAAATTATAATAAAAAATAAATCACTTAGGTTTCATCAAATAAAGAATTTGATCTACAGAAAAATATCACAACCAGATTATCCCAGTTTATTACTGTCCCGTTTAGACTGATGTTTAGAGTTCTACTATGTATATAAATAAACGATAAGTTGCGGATAAAATAAGACGATTTTGTTTCTTTTTTGAACTGACACATAAAAAGTCTTGTGACGGGAGCAGCTGAAAAGAGTAACGTTTTATGAAGTTCCCTGTTAGAAAAACATCTGTACTTGTGGATTTAAAATGAGTGGGAAACTTGTATAAAACTTAAGGCTTCACTGGTATTTCATTGGTTAAGATAAATAAGAATATCATAAAAAATATTGTATTCGTTTCATACACTTTTAGTTAATGCTGTTTTCAGTTTGGGATTCTAAGGATGTGGAATGTTTTGATTAAATTTCTAATTATTATGATTAATTTTTTTAAGTAATAAAATTTAATTCCATTTATTTCAGACGAAAGATGTAAGCAGAACGATAAACTAAAATATTAAGAAAAAGAACATGTACATAATATAAGGCGTTAGAAATACTTGTTAGAATTATGTATTTCGGAGTATTTTAAGTTGTATAACTTAAATAATATATTTTTTTAAATCGTTCACCTCTGTTAGGCAATTGTTGTAGATTATACTCGAAAGCGAAGTTAAGTCTTTTTTTTTTTTTTAGTTAGTTGCGCATGCGTGAATGCCGAACTGAGTATGTGAAATTTTCAGCCGAATGTCAATTCATGTTTCCTTAGTTGCGACTGGTTCATTTACCAGGTTGGCATAAAACTGATCGGTTAGAATAGTTAGACAAAGTTCTCATACTGTCGCCCAACAAGGATAGTGGTTAATAGTGGTTAGCAACATTGACTGCCGTACCGAAGGGCAGTCAATGTTGCTAACCACTATTAACCACTATCCTCGAATCTCGGAGGAGGCATGGATTTTTGTAAATGTATAGTGTCTGCGCAGAAAGTGAGCACTCAAAATATCCGGCTAGCCGAATGTCCTCTCGAGAGGTTGATGGTAGGGGAAGAGGTGTGGGAGACCCTCGGGTCCATCCCTCCCCCATGCTTCTCTCCATCAAAATTGGTTGCGGAATTGAAGCGAAGTCGTTCTATTCCCTGTATAGCGCTCAAGGCTCTTGCCAACGACAGGTGCAATCTTGCACTCTTGGCGACGATGAATTTCGTGGGCTTCATACTGTCAGACACGCGATATAAGTCACAAATCCTTAGACCAGTTTCTGTGACGATGAAGGTCTGGTTGCCTAGTAACGAAGTTCGGCTTATGCCAATTATTACTGCAAACCCTCGCGTGAACGCTACATGAAGACGTCGTTATATAGTTCATAACAGGGAGTTTTTACTTCCTTGCTGATGAAAGCGCGAATTTCAGCTGCAATAATCCAGTATTACTGTCTTTCCCCTTGCGGCTCACCTTAACCTGTTAATTGCGGAAGGATACTACGACCATTAAAGATATTCTCTCATTAGTTAATGCTTTTAAAATTTATTGTTATCTTTTGCCTGGTAATAAGATTCTCCGAATTTGAACTATATAGCTTAAAAAGAAATTTTGTTTCTCCCTTTGCCGAAGGAATAGGTCGCAACCTACGAGATGGAAATAAAACTATTAATAACTAGCAATTTTATTAATAATATAATAACATCTTTTCATATACGCTTTTTAAGCGTCTAATTTCTTCTTCGCTCCTTCAGAAATTATACGCATGGTGTATTTCCTTCGTTCGGATTCTTAGTGGATAAATGAGTGAAAATGAGGAGGATTACCACGTGACTGTCGTATCTATTTTTTAAATTCCTACTTCTAGTTTACACTCTTCCTATATCTTGTTCAAATTTTCAGTCATTAATAAAACACTTTTTATTTACCCACTCAAGTTCAACTGCATTTTTTTAAACTTGTAGTGGATGACACTTGATGTTAATACAGTTTTTTCACATATAACAAATGTTATTTTTAATTCTTTTTTTTTTTTTTTTTTTTTTTGTATTTTTAAAAATTTTCTTTGTTGGCCTAAGTAGGAATTGACTTTAAAAAATGTTTTTATTACTTGTTATGCAATATTTAGCTATTTTTTTCATATTTTTTCTGCTACTTATACACATTCATCCTTTCATCAAACTGTTATGTATACATTTAGTATGTTTACGTACGTTTGCCTATAGCAGTCTATAACTATTCTCTTTTCTACGGAACTTATTTGTAAGCGGCAAACAGCAGTTTATCAGTGGGCATTTTTTAAAAATCTTTTCATATATATGTGTGTGAATAAACAAAATATTTAGGTGTATCTCAAAGCAATTTTCTTCTGAATAAGTGCACTTTTAGATTTCCTTAGCTCATTTTTATTTTCGTAATCTGCTGGCCGTTCTAGCCAAAGATATAAAATTTATTAAAGTAAATCAAGCATCTATAAGACGATCCATCCTATTTAAATTTTAAATATAGCTAAAAAAGCATAAAATTATGTTTTTCTTGAAAGTGTTCAATCGATTTGATGAGCGTGTTTTTCAAATGAAGTTTCTTTAGATTAATTAAGAAGCTCGAGGCAAAAATTGGTTTTGTTTTTTCAGTAGCCTTCCATTGTGTTTCTAACTAAATGAGTATTCATTCATTAGCTTGCTTGAGATCTAAAACTAACGACCGCGAAATCAAACGGAAAACAAACCCTTCGACATCCTGTCACACGCTCGCAAAGTCACTAACTCGCACCCTCGAAGTAGCTCTATAACAAGTTTTATGTGCGCAAGAAAAAGGAGAAAATAAAAAAGAATCGAATCGCGCGCCTCCCATACCAATGACCCTCCTGCGTCCTTGTTTCTCTTTCGTCGAGCAGAAGCAGCCTCAAGGGTACTGTCGACCCTGGAGCACTGGACTAATTACCTCAAATAAGTTATACCGGCTAAAACAAACTCTTGGCGAATTAAAACGAGACAAAAAAGCTAAGCAAAAGAAATCCGTTCCTACCACACACCTTTCCAAGACACAAGAGATCTCGAATGTCACGCGCAAGGATCCCATTCCTTTTGGGCAAATAATGGCAGAGACGGCTACTGGCTGCCTTCTCGATACGTTTTGCAGGTGGATTATATGCTTTATTGTCCCATTCTGTGGTGACGACGTGATCAGAATCGATGAGTACCTCCTTTGACATCTGCATCCCGCATTGCGTTGGTCCAATTAAATCCAGCGTTAGGAGAGCTGGGAAAAATTCGGAAAAGACAACAGACATTTGCATATCTATCGAATGAAAGAGTCAACAGCTAATATCGATGCGTCTCATATGCCAAGCGATCATCCGGCCCCACCAGAACATCTTCAACATTCAGGCTTGCATCCTGAACCCTTGATCCGGGTTATCTAAACGGAGCTGTGAGTGTGTTCTAGAGGTCAATAAGAATAGGAAGTTTTAAAACTGTACACCAGTGGGCGCTATCCGTATCAACAAAGTTTTTGTCCACCAGAAAGGCAATTAAGTGCCGAGAAACAATGGTGCAAAAACAATCTGCCAAATTTAGCTTCAACCAAACAATAGTCTAGCAAAAAAATGTTGGTGGCTAGCTCTATTAAAGGTGACTCAATTATAGGTGGTTTTGAAGGGAAGGTTACCTTTCGTATTGCAGAAATGTTTTAAAATTCAGAAAACGAGGAAATAGTTACAGTTCAGTAACTTTTTAGACAAGCTGAAATTACTGAAGTAAATAATTATAATTATTACTTCATGTGGTAAATGTAGACAATGTAGGGTATTTAAGCAAAATAATTCGGATATTTTGATGAAAATGAAAATTGTGTAAACATATATCGGCTTCTTTAAGCAAGCACATTTGGGATAATTCTAGAATCAGAAAACGAAGGATAATTTTGAATAGAGGTAAGTTATTAAAATATATTTTACATGTAGATGGTCATTTTATTATACCTAATAGAAATCGTCAGGAATTATATATATATATATATATATATTTGTACATTCAAAAGCATTTTTAACTTTGGTAAATTCAGTTTAATTTACTTATATCTACTTTTTAAATGTTGCATTTTATATACATTAACTTACTGTAAAAAAGAATTACGTAGGAATGCATTTGTGAAACTTAGTATAATCAAGCAATTTACTATCAGTTATCAAGCAATTTTAATTTATAATTGGGAAGGTTGTCTTATTGAATGCACTGCTGATAATTTTTTTTTTTTTAATTTCTTTAATAGATTCCTATCGTGAACACTATAATTTTAATCGTTAATTATTCATCTTATCTTATTCTTTAATGCTTTTGGTCTATTACAGTTTTTAGAAAACACAAATATTT